GACTGATGAAACCCTCCATGTGATGCCGCTGAAAAGATCAAGCGAAATGATAACATAATGCAATTTCTCCTGTTCATATTTTCAAGAGTCTGAACCACTTTTCAGTATTTTCTCTTTTCAAGTAAACCATTTCTTGACTCAACTATATTAGGTATAACATATTTACTCTATTTGATTATTTAAATGTATGATTAGATCAGTGTGGGAGTTGTGTGCATATATACTACTACATATTCCACCGTAGTGGTATTAATTATTCTCTGGGTTTTAATTTCACTGTTTTTTGCTAATAAGTAAACATTTTCAGAAGCATCAAAAATGATGAAATTAAGTGTCAGTGAAAATGAATGTTCATTTTGAATCATACCCTACTGGTTGATTTCACCTAATAATGTAATAATCATAATAATAATCTTTAAATTAAATTGTATCCTCGTTTCTATCTTGATAAAGTTGTACAATTTCCCTTCCACCCACTTAGTTTTAATATTCATACGACCCTTGTACTAACCACGATAGCCAATCACAAGTCAATCGACCACAGGTGTCACTTATGCTGGTGTCTCATTGGGCGATATCGATAACACAGGGACGAATGGTCTTGGGTAACAGGAAGAAAACAAAAAATTTACATTCACCTATATATTTATGTTTATTTCTGATTATAAAAACTTATTACATTACACGAGTCTTGCTCGATGTATGTGTATAGTTTTGTATACCGCATTTCCTAGAAATGAAATCTCTGTAAAGGATTTCTTTCAAATTTGATTAATCTACTCAGTATTATCTTCAAAACAAATCTAGTCAAATCGATTGTACCAGGTATATACCGGTAAAACTGATTCTGATGATTACGAGAACTATGTACAGAGCTGTCTATGTAAATGTTGTCAAAGTAACTGTGTTGAAAGGAGTCTAATCGTGCTTGGTGCTACAGAGCAGTGAGTGTGACAGGTAATGCACTGCAAACAATACAATTGGTAGTGTTTTTGTGATAAGTACTTTAAGGTGCAGTTTATAATAGCACAAGCAGAACATCACAGTAGACAGACAGCCTCCAGGTGTGTACAAACATTATTGAACTTAGCTCCCAGCCAATTGCCACAACAAATAAATCCCTGACTCAGCAGGGAGTACAGCTGTTGTAAAATTAATGATTCACTTGCTCAGTTGGTTTCCTTGTCTCGTCTATTGGCTATCATCAGTCACTGTCTTCTACTGATACATGTATAATCTATAGCAAAGACATTTCTGGACTAAACATTACTTACATGTAACTGTTGTCCCCTTTTGAGTATTACTACAGTACATGCCTTCCCTAGATATTAGCTTACCCTTTATTTTTGGATATTTAATGAGTTGAGGGGAAACAGACCCGGATATATGGCCATGGTTTTTATACTCCAGTGTGTGAATCATACAATGGGAGTCTGCGTGGTTAGCACATCTGTATCTGTGTGAGTGTGTCTGTTCCACTGATATCTCAAGAACCAATTATCAGATTTTAATGAAAATTGGTACATAGATGCTCTGGGATAATGCTCTACCCTGATTAGTTTTTGGTTGAAATCCTGTACATATTAATTACCCAGTTTGCATATTAATTAGCCAATTTTAAGCATTCACACTTTCTTCTCATGTACCATAAAACAGATTTCAATGAAAAATTGGATATAGATAGTCTTGGATAATGCGCAGATCTGATTAGATTGGGGTTTAAATCCATGTATATTAATAGGTAATTTGCATAATTAATTAGCTAATATTTAACTTTTCCACTAATATCAATGGAACTCGGTACATACAATGCAGGTTAAATTTTGTGCTTACTAATTACCAAATTTGCATAAATTAACCTATTTATATGATTTCCCTGAATTTCTTAAGTACCATTCATCAAATTTCAATGAAACTTGGTACATAGGTGCTTTTGGATACTCCAGAAATCTGATCACTTCAGAATGAAATCCATTTGTTTTAATTACCCATCTTGTATAAATGAGTTGATGTGACCTCATAAATATGCATAACTGTAATATCTCAGACGAAGACAAGTCTGTTGTCAAAATAAGATTGTTAACATAGTAAATGCAGTATTCTGTATTTGTACTTCATGCCTTAAATATCCTTAGCACACAGGAGTTCTTTCTAAGCTTTCTTTGATTATGCCTAAAATTTATCGAATTCAAGCATTTTTGCCATTTTTTATCTTGGTTGTGTTTGATGGATTTTGTTACATACATACATTGGACATAATGAGACCTTGACACACATACATTGACTGATCGTAATCAAACTTTACAACGATATGTACATTATATTCATGTACAGTACTGTAAAACATGTCTTTTTCGCGAGCATGTCTTTTTCGCGAATTTAGCGAGAAAACTGATTCGCTAATTCAAGATGTCGCTAATGACTTTATTAGTCCCCGTTTTCGGACTTATAATTCGGTCTCCGTCCGTCTGTGTGTCTGTGCGTCCGTCCGGAGTCGTATCTCAGAATCCCTTGGACCGATTCCGTTCATTCTTTGCATGTGCTAGTACTTTATGTGGGACATATGCACATGTAGTGGTTTAGCGATTCGATTCAAAATGGCCGACTGGCAGCCATCTTGTTTTTTGAAAATGTTGCATTTTGGACATGCTTTGTCAGTTTTCATTCAAACTTGGTACATAGATTATACATGTTAGGATACATGTCCATGATGATTTATTTCACAATTGGATCAAAGATGGCCAACTGGCAGCCATTTTGTTTTTTTGAAAATGTTGTATTTTGGACATGCTTTGTCAGTTTTCATTCAAATTTAGTACATAGATCATACATGTTAGGATACATGTCCCCGACCATCCGTGAGTTCCTGAGTCTGTCCGTCCGATCGTTCGTGTGTCCGTCTGTCCGTGCGTCAGTCTATCCAACGTCATATTTCAGAATCCTGTGGGCCGATTCCGTTCATTCTTTGCATGTGCCTTGTACCTTATGTGGGACATATGCACATGCAGTGGTTTAGTGATTCGATTCAAAATGGCCGACTGGCAGCCATCTTGTTTTTTGAAAATGTTGTATTTTGGACATGCTTTGTCAGTTTTCATTCAAACTTGGTACGTAGATTATACATGTTAGGATACATGTCCATGATGATTTATTTCACAATTGGATCAAAGATGGTCGACTGGCAGGCATCTTGTTTTTGTTTTTTATGCGGTATCTTGGACGTGCTCTGTCAGTTTTCATTCAAATTTGGCACATACATGTACTTTATACATGTACATGTTAGGATGCATGTCCATGACAATTTGTTTCAAAAGATGGCCGATTGACAGCCATCTGACTTTTTGGCCTTACTACTATATTTCCACAATTTATGTACCATTTTCATTTGTATTTGGCATATACATCATACATATCAGTGTGTTTCATGATCAGATCAAAGATGGCTGAATAACGGCTGTTTTTATTTTGGCCATATTATTATGACACGAAACACATGTTTTGATATAAATAAACAATCTGCGACAACCCCTCCGCTTTAATATGACGAGCACAAAGAGAACTTAACGGGGACTGTGTCATTTTCAATGACTTGTTATCAATTCAAAATGGCCGCCAAACAAAGAAATCAGCAATGACAAGAGAGATTCGCTAAATCAACATTTCGCTATTACATCATTTTACTACAATTCGCTAAAATTGCATGCCGCTTTTTCAACATGTTTTACAGTTATTTGTCTCTTATTATGATTCAAAATTTCCGACTCATTTTAGTTTGGTTTACTGTTTAACAAACCAGGACTCGGTCATGACATGATTGGTTTGTCTAAAGTGTTTTTTTTTGGTGATATATGTGTTACTTTACACAAAACACCATAATTGACTGTTTTTACCAGTAATGTAACATCCACAACAAGATCTGTAAATGTAGCATATTAATTAATAAATAAATTTGCTAATTATTGTAATCATTGGGGAACCAAGCCCTATTGTTCTCGTTAAAATTTTCTTCCTCTTCTGCCACCATTTTTTCGTAAGATTGTGAGAAAAAACTGCTGAAGGAAATAGTCTCAAACTAGAGAAATGGTCTCTATGCTAGTAGAGGCTAATACAACTGGTTGCCCTGACTCTTAAAATTGTCATTGGTCATGTGGTTTGGCAGCCATATTGTTTTTGAATATTTTATATTGAAAACCAAACATAGCCATCGCTAACCTATTTTGAGGGTCTAGGCAATTTGAATTTATTGTATCAACTTCTGAACAATAGAAGTAGTATTACCCTGCTACAAATAAAATGTATAAACAAGTTCACATTGTAAGACTTCTGTACACTGTTTACTGCTTTAATTATAACTGTATTTCTTTTAAATTTAAAATTGTCAGCTTTTTATTTGTCACTTTCTATCTTTCAGAAATCAGAGAAGCTGAATTAGAAAAAGAGGCTCTAGAAAAAAGAAAGGGAGAGCTTATACCAGCAAAGAAAAAAGTGCATGTCTATGAGGATCCATATGACCCAGAAGATGGAGAAGCAATAGTTGCTAAGCAACTGCCATCAGATGTAATTAAACCTAGTTTAAATCAAGATAAACAATTTGTGAAACCACAGAATGAACAAAATGAACAAGCAAATCACTCCCATTTACAAACCAGACGCAGTCAGAGCCATGAACTTGATAGTCGACCTCCTGAGGAGTATGATGAGCCCTGGGAGTGGGGAGCTAAAAATAGAATTTCTCAAGCAATTCTTGAAAAGCGTGAAGAAATAGCGTTATCATCGTCAGGTAGCAGCCTACCTGATGAGCAAATTAACGGACAGTCTAGTGCTTCTCATCTTCATGGTAACCAAACAAGGGAGAAAGATGTTCGTCCACAAGAGGATTATGAAATTCCGTGGGAATATAAACCTAAAGATAGACTATCACATGTTCTGATGGGTAGGTACATTTAATGTGTCAGCTACATGTGAGTGTGTTTTACCATGTTAACAACTGTAATCCACCTGTGTCAGATACATGTGAGTGTG